CGGAATCCTCAGATCCTTGTCCATTCTTCGTGAATCACAGTACCCGGCCACGAAGGTCACTACAAGACTGCAGGCTGAGCAAGGATTTGACGGCCAAAGAGCTGGGGAAAGAGGCTGCTGTTACCGGGCATGCTTGGAGCAACACTGTTTGCCTTAAGTCGAGCATGCATGCATATGCACAGATCCAAAATGCCCAAGCTTGACGTTCGGGGGTGCTGATACGAAATAAATACAAAATGAATACATGTTTAAAAAAAGAACACAAAATCCACGCAAAACCAATCCAAACAAGACAAGAGAAACGCTTGACAGAATGGAACTTACACAACGGGAAAATTGGTCACTGGCTCACCTGAGGGCTTATGTTCAATTTGTTATCTAATTCTCGGGGTTGTATTATCCCCTTCAGAGAGCTGTTGCAGAAGAATACATGTCCAACTGAATGCTCAAGGCAGCATCTGCTGAGTGTCGCAAATGGCCTCTTTTGATCAGGCGCTGCATTTCTCTACAGTTCGCCTCGGCTTCCTGCCGAGAAGCGTCTGGAACAAGCAGACCCGGATCGGGCCTCCTTCCCCCCAACCCAACCCTTCCCCCCATGCCAAATTTTCTGACGCCACCTCCCCCAATCGCTTGGAGGAGCTGCAAACCGATGTCTGCCTCCTACAGGGGAAGTGCCTCAAAACCCCCCCCCCCCACCCCCCCCCCCCCACCCCCCCCCCCCCCCCCCCACCCCCCCCCCCCCCCCCCCCCACCCCACCCCCCCCCTCACCCCCCCCCCCCCCCCCCACCCGCTCTGCCCTTCCTCCCTTTTGCGAAACCCTCTTTCCTCCTGGGGGCGGCCCGGCTGCCGAGGCGGCGCGCGCAAGCGTTTACAATTAAGGATGGCCAAAAGCACTTGGGAGACTCTGTGAAAGACTTCGGCTCGCGCACGGTCGCCGGTGAGCACCCCGATGCCTTTTTCATGTTTGGCGATACGGAACTTTTCATGAGCTCTTGCATGCTATTCCCTTTTGACCCTTTTGGAGGTCTACCGAAAGAAGCTGATCTGCTCCAACTGCAGTCCCTGTGTCTTGCGTTGTACTGATGGCATACTTCGTCTCTGAGCTCGAGACGCCATAGATTCTGGATCCGGAATGCTCTGAGAGTGGCTGCCCAGACCTCTTTTCCCCGGTTGGTCGCAAGTCGCGATGGGTCGCGATGGGTGGTGCCCTTCGAATTACTTTGCAGACGCTTGGTCAATTGGTCTCTGAGAATGCTGGAGCTCAGCCCGTGCAACATTCGCGTCGACCTCCCACGTGACACAGTGAGAAAGCAAGAAGGTACTGCAAAGTCACGCCATGGGCATGCTACTGCAACTCGCGCCGGATGCGAGCTGCGCTGTGGTTTTATGTTGCTCTTTGCTGAAGGCTTCTTTTGGTGACCTGAAAAAACTGCATGGAGGAAGATATCGGAAGCCACTGAGCCCGCTGCCGTGCGGGGAGCGCTTTCAGAGCGCTCTAAAAGCGTTCGCCCCGCATCTGTCTTCTAAGTCGCGCCGGTCTCGAGGGCTTTGGAGAGAGGCCTGAGGCAGCTCGACGTGAGGCACCGTGAGGCGTAAGATACGGCACAGCCTGGTGCATTCCTATAGGTGCTGGAAAGATTTGTCCACGGCTTTCCATGATGATCCTTTCCGGTCCTTCCCGGATTAGACAAAGTCTCCAACATCGACAGCAGCAGACGCAAGCATTCCCAACGTAAAGCATCATTACAGACTTGACATCCATCCCCCTGGCGAGTGCAGAAGTGTTGGGATGGCGCGAGCGGGTCGAGATTCATGGGGTAGGGGCTGGGGTGAGAGGGCACGGGATGTCTTGAGGCCATGATGGTGCAAGTAGAGAGAGGCGGATGTCAGAAACTGAAAAATTTGGGAGGATGTCGGAAAGACAAAAGCTATCTAGCTGTGAGACCCATATGGGGCCATGTCTCTCAATGTGGGTTCAGCGGCCGGGGCTCAGGCACTCAGGCTTCGCCGTCACATCGGGGCCGTCCGCTTCATGCCCCTCCCTGAGCTCAAGGGGAGTTCAACGGGAGAGGGAGAGCGGGAGAGGGAGAGGGGGAGGCCCGCGCCTGCGCTGGCCTTGGCCTTGGCCTTGGGCCCCTGCAGAGAGCAGAGAGGACTGGAGTAGAGGTTTCAAAAAGAATCATGAAGGACGGGAGAAGCGCAGGGGAAGTCTGAGCAGTAAGGAGACCGGAAGATTTGTCCCCAAAGAAGGCGCTCACAGCCGTTCTCCCTGGCCTCCGGCCCTGTGGCGCTGCGTTTCAGGCCTCCCAAGGGCTGCACTCTCTTTCAGCACACTGCAAAACCCACCCACACACACAGACAGAGACACAGACACAGACACAGACAGAGACAGAGACAGAGACAGAGACAGAGACAGACACAGACACAGACACAGACACAGACACAGACACAGACACACACACACACACACACACACACACACACACACACACACTTTGGCTTGGCATGAACTGATGCTGTGTGCAATCTTAAGGGTGTTTGGGGCATGAAGGGGAAATGAAGATTTTGTACCAGACATGCCAGACACAAGGAATGGCATGTGCAAACTTGATGAGATGATGCAAACATGAGTGCTGTACCAGACTCAGAGGAATGGTACAGCAAGAAATGAAGTGGAGATGAAAATGAAAGTGAGGGCCCTGCCAGCTACTCTAGGCAGAGTCCAGGCACGGACCAATGCAGGTACGTTTACCTGGGGTGTGGGGGGGGAGCTTCGGTGGGCAGAGCCACCCGCACACCCCCTCTGCCCCCCTGCAGACTGGAATAGACAGAGAATGACTGATCACCATGTTCAGGTGTTTACACACACACAAGAAAAAAGAACAAACACAAACACACAGAGACTGCAACACACCGCAAGCTTGAAGCTCTCAACTGAAGACGCGGCGCCTCCTGTCACTTTGGTGTGTTTGACGCTCTTGGCGTTCTTGGTCCTGGCTTTCTGGATCTTCGCCTGAAGTAGGACGAAGTAGGAGCCCCAACATCAGACAAATCTTGGAACTCACCCCCCGCACACCTTCTCTTTCTCCTCCTCGTCTCTGGCAGCCTCGTAACGTCCAGTAAAGTCATACAATACCAACAATGTGTACTGGCCCGCACTCCCAAGTTGAGCGGTTTGCAGCATCCCGCTCGTCCAGCGCAACTTCCAAAGCTTGAAGATCCTGGACGGGGTTTGGGGCTGAAAGCACACTGATGCTACACCGCAAGACTAAGTCGGACTGATAACAGTGCAACTTGATAACATGTCCCCGTTTAAAGTCGTTACAAGGCAAGATGCCTCCAGCCACAGATCCGAGGGCTTCTTTTTCTGAAGTTCGCGCAACTCCTTGGCCTGCAAAGGGCTGAGAAGGTCTGAGGAGGAGAGGCAGAGACGCGAAAAGCTTCAAAGCCAAATTGTGCGCCGCCTTGACCTCATGCTCCTGCATGAGCTTCGCCACCTTCTCAGCGGTGAGGGTGGAGATCGGCATGCCAACCAAGTACTCGAAGTCCCTGCAGAACAGGACTTTGTTTTCTCCTCTTCTTCTATCGCCCTCTCTCTCTCTCTCTCTCTCCCACACGCATAACCCCCCGGAGGGAGGCTGCCCCAAGGGGCGCTCGTCCAAGGTCTGTTGGTAAAGCTCCCCCTCCCGTGTTGGGCTGGGTGCTTTGGCTCATTGGCCTTACTGGAGGTTGGGGTTTTGACCACATTCTATCGCCCTCTCTCTCTCTCTCTCTGTCTCGCTCTCTCTGCGTGCAGGAGGAAGTTCTCTCCGTCTCTCCACTTTCCGGGAGAATGGACGGAGATTGTTCGAGATTCGAGAGACTATGCAAAGCCGCCTCACGGCTTTCTTGGTGATGTCGGCAGATTCGCCCTCCTCAAGCACTGGCACATGCGCTGGCATGTGACAATGCCACACCGAAGAGAACATCGAAGCAACAAGCGAGAGAGCAGACGGAGCAAGCGAAGAGCGAACGGAGGATTGCTTTGGTCGCTTCGTGCAGCGATCCTGCCCGCTCTCTTCCTCGTCATCGTCAGCATCTGCTTCCTGTTCCTCCTGGACCACTCTTTAGAAGCACCCAAAGCACCCCAAAATGGGGGGGGGAATTCCAACTCTAGGATGGCTCGGCCCTTTCTCCGCAACTTATCCGCACTCTGTCCACTCGCTGTAGGACACAGCTGCGCAATGAATTATCACTGAGAAGAATTCAGAGCGCCCTCACAGATCAGTGCAGTGCAGGGACGGAAGCGGCAGGCCTGTCGTTCCGTATCCTCGTGGTTCCATCAGCCACAGGCTCACGTATGCTTCAGCGGTATGCTATGGATAGCGGATATGGGGCCATGGGGCTGGCTATGCTCGGCTGTACTTTGAAGTAATGCGACCGACGCTACAATCTCCAAAGTCTCAGCTTGGCCCTTTGGCCTTTGGCTTTGTGGCGATAGAAGCAGGAGGTCATGGCAACAGGCACGCCCTATCTACACACAGAGTGCGGCACAGAGTGAGAGACTAGCTCTCCATTGCAAATGTACAGAGTATATACACACCATGATCGCGGCGAATTTGTCCGCTTCAGCTTCTCGAATTACAATGCCTGCACGAGCTGCAGTCTTCAACGTTTAGAGTCTAGAGTTTAGAGTTCAGACGGGTTTGGAGCCCCGCCGTCCACTCCGAGCGCGCTTTAAATCTCACGTGATCTCACGTGCACGGCCCAGGCCATTCGAGCCAAGGTACGAGCTGTCGCTAAGGTACAACGGCACAACTTGTATGAATGCTACAGCCACCTGCAGCATTTTCAAAAGACAATATATACTCGGTAGTGTTATACTAATGGAAGCATTAACATCGCACGGGGAGCTGCTAACTTGGGGCACCTCCAAAGCTGTCCAAGGCGAAGGCGAGAAAGGCGAGAAAGGCGAGAAGGTAACATTCATCTTGTTGAACACTTCACGCGCTGCACGCCCTTAAATTGCCTCAGCAGAAATTGCACAAGTGCACAAGGGCCCCCTGGCAACTCGTGGAAACAATCTACGGCTTCACGTGTACGGATTTGTGGCCTTCGTAAGCAGGTTGCCATTGGCGATCGTTGACAGGTCAGCCCCGACTGCCAAGGCCTTCCAGCCACTCGTTGAAAAAACAGTCTCAGAGCTCGTCGCACCCTAACTCATGTTAAGAGCCCCACGAGTACTTGAAGAAGCTCTGATAACCAAGCGCTCGGGCGCAGCAGAACCTGGCCAGGCACGACCCTAAGCAGAATACGAAAATCTGGAAACCTCGGCCTCAGCGAATAAAGACTTTCTGTTCAAATGCTCAATGTCAATAGAGACACACACACCCACACACACACACACTTGTGAACGTATTTGGAACGTCTTTGGATCCGTTTTGTTGCCCGTTGGCCGGAGCAACGTGGTTTGCAGCGGACACTGTGCTGTCCTCCCTCTTTGCCGACTCTTCCTGTGCCATGCGTGCCCTTCTCCTCGGGCTCGGTGCAGAGACTCACTGCTCGCACTAGCCGTTTTTCATGTGATGAAACACTTGACCGCCAGGAACCCATCATGGAAACGGAACCATCATGAGTCTTTCCACGTGACCGGAACTTGCTTGACAAGGAACCCGCCCTCGGGACCCAACCGCTGTATCTTCGTCAGTTCTACAGCCTCTTCACGGTTCATGAAAACATGAACCGTACTAATGTCAGGTGTTAGGGGCTTATCTCTGTCAATGCACGATAACCGCCCCTTGAGACTATATTATTAGGCGGTTCAATATACTTTCTCCGCCGTCTGTAAAGAAGTGCAGAGAATTATATACTATTACAGTGGGCGTGCAAATGTGGGCCGCTAGCTGTTTTCTGCCACTTGCTCCGCTTGCCCAACTTGCTCTGGTCGCCTAGCGGAGAACGATATTCGAACCCAACCGATTCTGAGTTAACCACATCCAAGGCCTAAGGACCCAAGGACCTAGACCCTGTCAGGATGGGTATCCTAGGCCCGACAGACTGCGGCGCAAACCAAAATTGCAAGCGGATGCCTCGGCCAGTGTCTTAGACACTCTCTGAAGGAAATGGGATGCAAATGGTGGCGAGATCGCCTGGGCCTTGACAGACGATGCCCATAGATGTGCAAACGTGCGCAAACATTCATCTTCACCAGCTTTCATTACTTTGTCATTACGTGTTCATGCTCTCACCGGTTCCCCGGCCTGGGAAACTTCAGGCTTCTTTGAATTGTCCGTCGGAAGCTCGGTGCAAGAGAGCCTCCACGTCGCTACTAAGTTGCTACTCTGAACGCAAGACACACGCGGCCCGGCCGAGCCCTGCCTTCGTCCAAGCGGCCTTGGCGCCTTGGCCGGGTTCAGATTCACACGTCCTTAGGTCCTTTCAAATTGTTTTCAGACCTCCTTTCGAAACAACATGGCTACAACAGAACATGCCCATGATGCTGACAGGCTGACAAGCTGGAAGTTCACAGATGCCACAAGCCCAGCAAGGCGCAGAAACGCACAGGAACCCCTTCTACCTGTCCAACCAACACAGGGCTTCACAAGTAACAGCGCGCGAACGCGGCGGGAGTCTGGGCATCCAGCAGCTTTCTCCGGCGGCATTACCCAAGAAGGTGTCGCAATGCAGGATCCATCAAGCTGCCTGAAACTGACCCCGAAAAAAAACACACAACAACCAGGATTGAGGGAGAGAGAAAGGGAGAGAGAGGGAGAGGGAGGGAGAGGGAGGGAGAGAGAGAGAGTGAGAGAGAAAAAAGAAACGTTCGGAGCCTCGGGCCCCCTTTGAGGCAGACCCGGCTGCAGTAGCAATTCCTTAGCTTTCATCAGAGCAGGTCAGCTCCAGCTCAAGTTCGGTCACATTACCGATACGGCAGGCAACAAGAGGCCCACTATGAGCCAGTGCAGACGATTCCCCGTGCTTAAGGCTTAAACCGATCATTATCCCTCAACTTGGGCGGCGCAACATGTGCAGAGCCAGCGCAAGTGCCCAGATCAGTAAGAAATCGACAAAGATCACTGACATGCAACAGAAGTCATGAAGACAACAAGAACGGCCACAGCAATGATCAGCCTGACAAATCATGCACATGCACATGGTGCTCTGCAGAGAGCACTTGCACATGTGCAGCACTGAGATTTTCAGCATTTGACAACGCCGATTAAGCAATGCCAATCAAATGCTCAATCCTTGGGAACTTCGACGAAAATGCTCAATCATCGTAACAGCACGTGCGGCATTTGCTCTAAGCAAGTCACGCGCTGCAAATAATACAAAGTCAACAGAACTGTGAACGACTGCCAATACAATGGCTGTAGCTGCGTTTGACAGCTCAGAACACGTGTAACTGCCTTGTCATGGTAGAGCTGCTGGACACGTACGGAACTTGGAAACACCAGACACGTGATGCTGGAATGAGGCATACACTGATGAGGCAACATGTGCCCGAGGTTGAAAGAGTGAGGGTGGGGCAACTTCGGCCAACAAGCTTTATTGTAGTTACTTCCTTGCTTCCCTCCTTCCTCGTGGCTGCCATCTTGTGCATTGTTGATGCAAGCCAACACACTGGATCAATTTTAGGAACCAGGACCATGGAGCGCTGGCGTATGTTGGAATCAACACGATTTGACCTCACAACTCCGGTCGCTGGACTTCACGGCCTCACGTAGCCCCACAACCCAGTCCATCCCTCAGGCCTCCGAAGCAAATGAAGGTCCCTGAAAACGATCCCTGAAAAGATCCCTGAAGGTCCGCGCACATCCTACGGCCCTTCAAGCGCGTCGCTCCAGAAGCACCTCCACTTCTTCCTCGATGGTCCGCAGGCAATGGCAACACCTGGAGCATGGCATCTCGAGTCTTTGCGGGCATAGCTTATGATTAACAGCATCCGCCGAGGCCTCGGGCGTAGGTGTCTGGGTAGAATAAATATGCAGGTGCCCCACCTCCTCTCGGGGCCCCCACTCCCCGCATCCCGCCTTCGTTTCCCTATAAGTGTTGGATTCTTTCTTTTTCACGCAGAATTGGTTGCGTACTCCTGGAGGGCCCGTGGTTTGGATTGTTGCCTCGACAGGCGGCCTTTGCGAATTGATTTTTACAGGGGCTGTGCTACAGGATTCTCGCTTTGTAGAAAGGCTGTGCTACAGGATCCTCATAAACCCTAGCCTTTAAACCCGAAGGGTTAACCCCTAAACCGCACTTGAAGGACTTGTTCCCCAGTGATGACATGGGCCTTTGTTTCAGCTTAGCTACCAAAACCGTGCCGGGACATACACCGGCAGTTAAGAACCCTCTTGCAATGCCAAGGGCTCCCTAAATTGTATGCTATGCTTGAGGTGCTTACATGTGAGGTCTACATATGGATGTGGTGTATGGCAGCAGGATCCCAGAAGAGAATTCTTACACCAAGCCTGTCAAAGATGGACGCTCAACGCACTGAATCTGGGCAGGCCCCGGCCGAGGCGGGTCGCGCAGCATTGAATAAAAAAGCATTGCAGTCGCAGTCAGCATTTACGTTCACCGATCACAAAAATTTGAAATGCACAAGAGAAGAAGTGCATGTCAATGTGTGTGTGTGAGCTTGAGTGAGTGATTGCTGGTCACCATGCGCCTGAAGACGACTCTGCCGGAGACGTCGACGCTGCGCGGCATCGCCTTCTGTCCTTATGCTTGTCCGGTGGCTTCTGGGTCCTTTCCGTTTTGTATCTGGGTCCTAGATTTTGGTGTGTTTGTACATGAAAACTTTAAAAAAAAAAGACAAGAAACAAAAAAAGGCTTTCAGCTGATGTCAAGAAGTTGCTACGGCTGCTACAGAGCCTCAACCCGGCTCACGGTGCGCATCCACGGCCCCTTGGGCGGGATGGTGCCATGCTGAGTGGGTTTGCTAGCCATAGCGCTTAAATTGGCTTAAATTAGAATTTGGCACACAGAGGCCTGCCCGGACCTACCCCCGAATGAAGTGCGGAGTTCATCTGGAGCATCACGCAGCGATGCACATCTCCAACAAGCCTTCTGGGACTCGGGCTGCTGTTGAGAAAGCACCAGGAATCTATGTACAGATAGTCTACACAAGGTCTATGAGTAGCTGCTTCGACACCATGGCGGTGTCTTGAGAAGGGCGGCGCACGCCTAGATTAGAAGATGCCAATAGCGCAATGCCACTATGTGCATGAGTCTGTCCAACAGACCCTCTCGTGTCCCTCCTCCTTGTCCTCCGAGGGCTGACCTCGACTCACAAAGCTACTGCGAAACCGATTGAAATTGGACTCCGGCGCCTTGGAGATCCTGCAGCGCCTTGAAGCCATTCTTGCGGAGGTCCTCCCCCAACGGTAGAAAGACCCCTATAATAGAACTCCGGGAGTGCGCTGCCCAAACCCCCCCCCCCATCTCCCCCCCATCTCCATGCCTGGGCCAAGTCGGCGATTCTCCTCGCCGGTACAGACGTTACGCGGTCGCATGTCCTCTGTGCAAGCGGGATCCGGTGCCGACCTCCTCCGGATCACAATCTTCCCCTCGATCACAAGCTTCACAAAGCGTGCTTTGGCGCTCAAGACCTGCAGTGCAAATTCACGAACGTGTCTACTAGAGTTACTAGAGCCCACCCCAGCCATGGTCTTGCACCTCACATTCGCGAGTGAGCCGTGCCAAGAGGTACGCCTTGCGCCTCAGTTCCCATGCTTGGGGACTATATCATCACAGAGGCGCATTGCTAAAATCAAGCCCAGCACTTTTCGTAGATCCTCAGCCGAACTTCTGCGAAGTCTTGCAGGATGTCTTTCGCAGTCTCCTTACTGGAAAAGCGGCTAGTCAAGCCGGTAGAACGCTTCCGTGCAGGAAAAGCGTTATTTCGATCATCGAGAGGAACATATGATGAGCCAGGTCCCGCGCGTACTTCTTGATCTTTCCATCCGCATCAAACAGCATCTGCAATGAACGTCTCCAAGCAAGTGGTTAACTCCATCGCCACGAATAGCTACGTTTATGTTCCAGTAACACTGCAGTAATTACGGTAGTCGTCCCCATCACTCAGCAAATCAGCATTGCCACAAGTTGCGTTGCATCAAGCACGTCACGGGCACCATGTTGTTCATGCTGATGGACGACCGAAGCTTCAATGCCTGGCACATCGGCACTGCAAGTGGCAAAACAAATTCAAGTCCCAGTATGTCGAACTTCGTGCATCTGCCGAGTCTGCTGAAAAATCTGCCTTTTCAAGGTTGTCCTGCAGGTTGTCGCACGTGCTTGATGGCTGCTTATCTCCGAAGGATTCCGAATGGGAAAGGCGGTCCTTCTCAGCCTGCAGCTGACCCTCTGAGCTCAAGGACAACCTTGGGAACATCAGCACGCGCCCCAGACAACTGCTTTAAGGCAACGCCCTGCAGCCTGCAGCACCCTAATGTACAGGACTCCCTCGTCACCCTCGTGTGTGAGCTGCTCTTACGTGCATTGTGCATGGCGTTGTAGGCTTTGGGCTCAAAATGTACGGTCTTCTCGCTGTGGTACCTCAAATGTCACGAGGATACACGGATGCACTTGCAGTCCACTTGCAGTCCAACTGATCAGATCCCGACTCTTGGTAGTCTTCCAACAGCTTTGGCCCCTCTCGCTTCTTCCTTGAGCAGTGTCTCTGAAGTAGAGAAACAACCACGCCTCGCCTTCTCAGTCTACTAAATTGAGAATGCGCTCTGTACGCTAACGCCAAGCTCGACGAGCAGCTCTCCCTTGGGAAGATTCTCTTCCAGGATTTCCCTGTAGTCCTTGCAAGGAACATTCAGCACTGGGGGCAGCGCCGTGTCCCCTTGCCTACGCGAGCACCAAGGTCCCCAAGCGTCTGATCCAATTTTCGCACCTGAGTTCGGGCGAAAACGGGTCCTGCGTCCAGCGCTTCACCGGCAGCTCGGTGATTTCGGCTTTCCCTGGCAGTGCAGTGGATGACTGGCAGATCTGGTGAGTTTGTTCTGCTAGCCGCGTGCAGGTTTTTGTCGTTCGTTGGGTTCGTTTTGGCTTTTTTCCCATCTGGGATTTGAGTCACTCCGACAAACAAGTGTGCGCGAGCTCTCGTGCGGGGACTAGTCTCCGAGCTGTGAACTTTGGCCGAAGCTGAGTTGAACTCGAGTTCTGCAATTTTGTAATTGAGTTCGGTAGGGTGCAATTTACCGAGGGATTCTTCGTGATGTTTGCGCGTTTGGGCGCCCGGTGAGAGCCGGCGAGAGGGGCAACCAAGGCCCCCCTCGCACGGGCTATTTGCACGCATCCAACAGTGTGATGCTCAGATCTGGAAGACATGTTTCAAGGAAGCTCTGAACTCGATCAAACAGTATCCATGTGAATTCAGAAAACAAGCCTCCGTAAACAACCATTGAGTGCCGAGTTGTAAACCGCGTCCTCAATTGAAGCGCATCTCTGGCACTTCCGTGTCTGTGATCAGAAAAAGTTTTGGCTCACAACAGTCACCACTTGGACGAACCAAGCCTTGCGAAGAACTTGGCAGCTCCTATTTTAAACTAGCAATTCGGAAAGCGTCATTGCAAGGGCAGGAACCCCGCAAAACCCTGGCAACCCTGGCATCCCTCTGGAATCCCAGCCTTCCCCAAGGTACCGGACGCTGCCCGTGACCTCGACACGTCACTGTCTCCCCATGTCTCCCCAAACCTGTCTCCGATGTTCTCCAAAGCGGGCGTGGCCTCCCACTTGCCTTCTTCTCGTCCTTCTCGCGCAATACTGTTCAGTAGAACAAGCACAAGATCCTTTGACGGTGGAGCCCAAACCCTTCCGACGTGTACTGCCTGTTGCAACATGGAGTACGCAGAGTGAAGAGCAGAGTCTCATCCATTTTGTGACTTCCAGGCCTTTCGAGATGCTGCCAGTGAAGCCTGGCCAAGTTTCAGAATTCTCTGAAAAGTGCCTTCAAAGGCCCGCCACTCGCGAACTTTCCCTGCCGCAACTTGACGCCCGCACCCGCAAACCACGGGCTCATCTCCTTCATCTCCTGCTTTTTCAGCCACCTCCTGTGCAGAACCGCAGAGAGGTTCAGAGCCACGAAAGTCTAAGGCCCTAAACTCGCAACACCAAGCCTGAGGTTCTCAACGATCTCCTTTTGCAGCAACAAGCAGAGGCGAGCTTTGGTGTACTTGCGGAAGCTTGCGCTGTGTGAGTGCCGCCCAAGAGGCTCGGGGATTGAAGTTCGGCACCGAGGAGCTCCAGCCGGTGCCTCAACTCAGCGCACGAAACGATGCATCGCTGACCCGGGACCCTCGAAAAAAACCAGGCCCCCAAGGCTCAAATCCCAAATCCCAACAAACCGCCAGCCGAGCATCCAATCCCTTCGACACCGTTCACCAAGACCATCGGTATGACGGGACAGTACCAGCCTCAGAGAATCGAGAGCAGGAGAACAGGAGAGAGCCAGCGAGAGATTGGCGGGGGCCCCTTTTGAGTGTTGAGGGGAGGCGCGCTGTCGATGTTCTCGCGGCTCTCAGCAGACATCTGAACAAGGCTCTCTTGAAACGCATCTCAGCGCGATGCGAGGCTCGATGGACAGGCCATCTTCGCTTAGGTACTCCAGCACAGGATCATCCTGGGATCACAGCGCCCGAGGCAAGTGACAGGCTCCTATCTGTCCGTAATCATAACCCCTTATGCCCTTATTCATACCCCGCCAACTGTTTAGAGGGAAGTGGAGAGCCGGCCCCTTTAAAACTTATAAGTTATCCGCTTTGCTGGTGAGGCTCTGAGGCCGGGAAGAGGCAGCGAGTGATCGGCGCCAGTCCTCGGTCCCGAGCGGGAAAGGAAGAGAAAGGAAGAGGGAGAGAGAGGGAGAGACAGGGAGGTCATGCAGAGCGTGCTCTGCTTTGCAGCTCCTTTGTCACACACTTTGATTACGATGTGTGTTCAAACCCATCAGCATCGGCAATTTATTGGTGGCACGTGCCTGTGCCGCATGGTGTCTGCAGTAGTGCAGCTAAGCACAAGAACAATTGCCAATGCAAGCACTGAAATTTGACAAGCACATGAGGGCAACGAATGCAATAGCGACATGGTAAAGTCGAACTTATTCTCACTTATTGAGAAAACACCACATTGCACGGTCTCCTAAATCAGTCTGTCTTGAGTTGCTGGGCCGAGGGCGGGTGTAGATGTATCGCGCAGAAGCCGAGTCCTGCACATGGGGGTGGATGGGTGGGCGGCGGGTGTGGTGATGGTGGTGATGGTGGTGATGGTGGTGATGGTGGTGATGGTGGTGATGGTGGTGATGGTGGTGATGGTGGTGATGGTGGTGATGGTGGTGATGGTGGTGATGGTGGTGATGGTGGTGATGGTGGTGATGGTGGTGATGGTGGTGATGGTGGTGATGGTGGTGGTGGTGCTGGTGGCCGTGGTGGTGGTGGTGAAGAAAGCATGACGGGCACGCGCACCAGAAGCGGGGGACTGGAAGAAAACAAATTGTGAGCCTCCCGTGTAACTGCAACAACAACTCAAGGCCTTGCCGCCCTGCAGTCGTGTACCGAACTGGCCCTGCGGAACGAGCCTCAGAACTCACAGCAGAGCAGCTTGTCGCACCATTCCGCATCTTTGCCCTTTTCCGCTGGGAGACAGGTTGATGTTGTTGGACCCGACGAAATCTTGCGCCATACCCACGATGGTCTCCGACTGGCGAGCAGAATGTATTGTTGAAACATGCTCATGATGCGGAAAGACGGAAGGGTCTCAGAGTCTTCCGCCGGCGGACCAGGGACATCTCGCCGTGGTGGTACGCGGCATGCTCCGACACGTAGCCCACAAGCTGGGCGACCTCTCAAAGTCACAAGCTCGCAGTTCGCACACTGTGCACAGCTGCAGCATTTTGCAAACTCAAGGCCTCTCGGAGCATTCAGAGATATTCAGAGCATCCGCCCCCACAGCGCAGCGCGCCAAGAGCCGCAGCAGACACAAATGCAGACGGTGTGGTCGCACCTTGACGTCGTGACGCAGCTTCCGCTTGAAGCAGCCGAAGAGGACCTCTGTGCAGGCGCGAGGCGGATGCAACAAGGATCCCGCTTGAAGCTGCCGAAGCTGACACTGCAATGCGGTCTTTCCTCGAAACACTTCGTCTGGTCTCTCAGTGCAGTGTTCCTTACAGAAAAGAATACACATACCCCTGTTCGTGTGGCAAGGCATCATTTCATCCAGAGTGACATAACGGAACACCGGCAGGGACAAGCATGGGATTGGCATCTTGAGACAGGCGTGCGCCATTGCGTGGAGTTCTTCTTTGCATCCTCTCTCAACAGATGGCCATATCCACATCGTCCACAAGCATGCATGACTGCTTGAATCACAACGCTTCCCTCCCAAAAGCGTGACCTGTACATCCTTGCAAGCTCACGACTGGCGTCTGCACAAGACTTGCCAGAGCGCAAGGCAAAAAGAACTCTCCGCTCTCACTTCTGGAGGACAAGGCTGCGCCAGGTGGTCTCACCTTGAGTGCACACAACTCTCCACTTGTTTCTTTACATAGGATGCAAATGTGACGGCTGTGCCCGTTTTTCACTCACAATTCACTTCAAACGTTAACGGATCAAAAATGACGCTCTTTGACGCTCACTGTTTGCATGCTGGATGCGTTTCTTCGCCAGCGTGACCGTGATGCGGCGTTTGGCGGCCTGAGGGCAAGCGCCCGGCATCCGCCCCCCCCACAAAACTTGGAAAATCCGAAAATGCGAGCGCAAAACTTTGAACACCGTTTCGAAAGGACTCGGAAGAACTCCCAGAGGGAGGCGCGGCCCCCCGAAGTCGGCCGCTCTTTCATCCTCTGATCGCCTCCACACGGACCTTGCTCTCCTCTGGCTTGATCTCAGCATTGAGCTTTTCGACCTTCAGCCTCCTCGGGTTTCCACAAACGAAGTGTCTCAGCTCTGCTTAGCTCTGCTTGGGGCTTCGGTTATGCGTGGCTTTCCCCCACCCACGGTATTTGCCCCTTCCCCCACTCCTTCGCTGCGATCCGGCGATGTCCAGCACGAATGATCGTGTATCGAAAGTGACCGAGGCCTTAAAAGCCAGGCAGCGGCATCACCGGTAGAGCATCCCCGTAGACTCTTATGGGATTCTTGATTCTTGGGACTCTTGGAGTGCTGCGATGTCATCCTGCGCATCCTTCACAGCTGCGTGATCTCCCACATCAATCCACATCAACTTGACACGACTCAACTCAACTCGCACAACTCAAGCTGTCCTCAGGAAGGAAATCGCAGTCAACGTAGACCTTCACCTTTCCACCAGCTTCTGCCCATGCGTAGTCCTTCCATGGCCACACAGCTCGCAGGAGGGCTCGTTGCAAAGCGGCAATGCGGCAACAGCAGCAAAGACAGCAATGAGAGAAGGCCAGAGAAAGCGCGTGAAGCCTTGATCCATAGGATCTTCTCCTCCTCCTTGATCAACTCTGCGCTGCCGTCCTCTTCCGGGAGCGAGAGCGGAGGACGCAGCGAAGCGGAGCGAGGGAGCTTGTGCAGCAAAAAACACGCAGGACACGGAGCCATGTCTAGAAGACAGTGTCGACTCTCGACGCTCCGCGTGGGGGGCCATGCTCCTGGCCTGGAGAAGCTCCGGAGGACCTCCCGTGACCAGTCCTCGCTGAGTCTCAGCGCGTGTCGCTTTAAGAAGTAGATCCTAACTAGATTCAGTAGACTCTGCTCAACTCGATTCCCGTCTCCTGGGCCTGCGATGATCTTGGCATCCTGCGGTCAGAGTCGAGCGTCAGATGTCAATTGAGCCCGACTCCCCTATGGTCGCCACTAAGTCTACACTAGCTACACAAGGAAGAGGGGAGCGTCAAACATGGTCATGGTTGGGGCCCTTCCTCAGGGATCTCGAACTTCCTGCCGTGGGCAAAGTAGTAGGCGTTCTCGCCTGACGCGCGGTCACCCCTCAAAAGCCTCGGAGCCACTTCCTCCACCTCTACCACACAACCGCGGCCGCCTTTCTGCGAGATATTCTGGTGGAGGGCCTCAAGTCGATTCATAAACCAAGCATGCTCAAGCACGTTGAAAGGCGGAGACTACGGATATACTACGGATATTTCGGATACGAGCGTAGGGACCGCGCTGACTCACATTGCTGCAGCTGGCTGCGCCGCACACAGTTGTCAATCTGCGCTACTGGCACAGCTGTGGCGGTTGCCTCAGCAGTGCTCTTCTTCCTCTTCTTCTTCTTCTTATTCTTCTTCTTCTTCTGCTTCTTCTTCTTCTTCTTCTTCTGCTGCTTCTTCTTCTGCTTCTTCTTACTCTTCTGCTGGGCTTGGGAGCATCTCTCTCTCTCTGTTCTGAATGCTGACTGTGCTGACTGTGCTGACTGTGCTGACTGTGCAGAGCGCTTCTGGGAACGAGGCCATTGAAAAGAAGCAGTGAAACGGCGGGAGAGGACTCCACGAGCCCACGAGCCCACGCTGCGGCAGTCCAACTACAAAGTCACAAGGTGCTGCAAGACTAGAAGGACCGTGACCTTTCCCCCTTTCTGTTCTTTCAAACTGAGGCATCAATAGAATGACTGCTCTGCCCTTCGCTGTGCCCTTCGCTGTGCCCTTTGCAGCCCCTCTGCTCTCCGACCCTCCGTTCCTCCGTTCCTCCGGCCTTCCGTTGGCTCGGCTTAAAGCCGTCCACCATAGAGGGAATGGCCCTCGCCACCTGGATGATTCGAGTTTTGTCTAGGGGCAAAAGGGGGTCTCATGGAGGTCTTCATGGAGGTCTTCACGGGTCTGCCACGCCGTCGCTAATGGGATGTCTTGAGCTTCTTTTCTTGCGAAAGGTCTTAAGCTGTCGGCGTTGGCTTTGGCAAAAAGCACCAACTCCTCGGTTCGAAGCGTTCGGCATCGCGATCTGCTATCTTGATGCGAGCAGCTGGGCCTTGTCCACGAAGTCCTTGTAGCTAACCTTCAGGACCGACAGCTTTCGACAGACTCAGCTCTCCTTTCTCGAAGAACCTCCCGCTGCGTGTGGTCCACCAGACGCCCTTCCTGTGCGAAAATGAGCACACGACGCATTGCCGCCCTTTGCCACTGCAGAAGACACAATCGGCAAAATGCCTCGTAGGCATTGATCCAGGTCTTCCTGTCATCTGCTCGCCTCCTCAGCGAGTGGCGTCTTTCGGATCTTCTCTCAGCCGCAACAACACGGAGCTCAAGCCGGGGATCTTGTTGAAGGCGAGATCAATTGCCCGGTCGTCTTCGACTCCATCCTCACAGGGCACGACTACCGCGCACGACGACAAAAAAACGATGACATTGAGGAACAGACAGGAGGAACCCAGAAGAGAGGCACACCCATTGGGAGCAAAGAGACAATGAAAGGACCTGCAAAGAGAAGGGCCCCGGGCATATCGATACTGCATCTTGTGCGACTCAAGGGCGCTGAAGTACTCCTCTGAGAGGTTCGTGGCCAACATGGTCTCTGTGACTTGCGTTCGCCCCTCTCATAAGCTCTCTCTTCTTCACAT